ATTTACCGAAGTGACCTACATATTACAGTTCACAAGTCCCACAGTAAAAAATTATTTGTTTAATTTTTTCTGTAATTATAAAAATCTTTTAAATCTCCGAGAGAAAGTAAAATACTTAAAAATACACAAAAACGCCTACAGAACAGAAACTACTTTTTTTCAGAATTTTAATTGTGAGTTATTGTAAAATATTATATTAACTGATTTCTATTTGGAGAAAACTTGTATGAGATAAAATATATTAGCTTTATTTGTTTCTATGTATCAAGAAGCATTTTCGTTCTCAGAGGGGGAACAATAATTAGTAAATAGTATTGACAAATCAACCTAGCGCCCGCGAGGCATACTTAGAGGATAAAAGATTAAAATCTACGTTAAACCTATTATTTTGTCTAAAATGTCTTTTTAATGGAACTAATAATATTCATTTCAAACTGTACATTATTTAACTATACGCTAAATTATGGAAACATAAATTACATCGCCCTCTCCTTAGTTAGATAAAAATATAGATGTACTTGAAGTGTTTTATCTCACGAAACTAAATATACATAAGTGCACAGCAGATTAAAACAATCAGCTACTCGATATGTATAATTATTTTAACTTTTTATCTTGTTTTTTTCATTTCAAGATCATAATGAATTATGTAATATATGTATTATATTTACACAATCAATTCAAATGTGATTAAATGCAGCACTTTTTGTTTAAACGTTTCAAGTTTGTTATTATTTTAAAACCACCTACTTAAAAAGTTTATGTTAGATTAACGTCTGTGAACCTATGCTATTTAAAAAAATTTGTCCAAATAATGTATTTATTCAAAATTTTTGCTTTTCTGACCTTTATGTGCATGTAAAATTGGTATATAATGAAAAATTAACTTATATATTTCAAGTAGTTTGAAATCCAAATGATAATCGCTCGTTATTGTTTTTTGGACAATTTTCCATATATTGATGCATATAATTATACTTTTAAGTCATCATATAATCTGTAAAATAAAAGTCGAAGATAATACATTGCTGTTATCATATTGAACTTTGATTGGTCGACTATGAAAGTCTGCTTACCGTAGTAACTCGCCGCCTATCGCTGGTCGTTGGTATTTGCACTCCCCCACTTCCATGGAAAATAGCGCAAGCCTTTTCACAATCTCGCCGATCACGGAGTTGTTCCAGTCGCCCCCCTGGTTTCACGTTGGAAGGGTCTTACGAATTGTTTTGTGATTGTTTTCATCTTTTACTTTGATATTTTTGTGATTAATATTAATAAAAATCATGGCAAACAAGCAACGTGTTTGCATTATCGGATCAGGAAACTGGTAAGTTAATTCCAAATCTTAATAATATTGGTGTCACTTCTTCCAACTAAAAGTTTTTCTGTCATTGATTTGCTCAGTCGGATTTAAATGCTGACATTGTAATTGAACCCTACATGGCTATAATTAAAGATCAATTGCATACTTGTTCAGGATATTGTACTTTTATTATTAATTTTTTCTATAGACGTTTATCTATGACGTATATTGGCGAATATTCCACAAAATTGTATTATTAAATTCGGTCGTTTTTAATTAGGTCATGTTTCATTATAATCTTAACGACATTTCTTTATAATGGAATTACATCAATGTACATGATATATACAAGTTATTACTATATATCGTGAATATTGCGAATTATAAATGTACATATTATTACCGAAATGTATACAATAATATTGTACAGATCATATGTTGTAAGTACATTTTCAAACACTCTTCAAAACCAAGTCCTTAAGACACGTTTACTTATTAACAATCACTTAAAAATACACAGATTCTAAAAACAATATAAATTTGTAAACATTAATGGAATATTTCACTGTTTGAGGAGAATGTACTCGAATTTCTATGAATATGTTAAATGTTATGTATACAGACAAAGCATATTATGACATTCATGCATAATTTATAGGGGTTCAGCTATTGCTAAAATAGTTGGAGCAAATGCGGCAAGACTCGGTAATTTTGAAGATCGTGTTACAATGTATGTGTACGAAGAAATGATCAACGGAAAAAAGCTAACTGAAATTATCAACGAGACACATGAAAACGTAAAGTATCTCCCAGGACACAAACTTCCACCCAATGTGGTAAGTATATAACATACATCGTATGTTTTCTCGACAGTTAAATAATTATGTAACTTTTAAATAAAAAACACGAATAATAAAATAATTTTTTTATACATTTCCTTATTTCGATGTACTTTTATTACAAAATTTGAAAACATGAATATTTATATAATTCTCAAACAATGCGAAAAAATGTATCTCATCTCATCCCATGGTTTGAAAATAATCAAATAATTCAAGTAACTGCTTAATGCAAATGTAATAAATGCGAATGTAAAAAGAGTATGAATATGTATGTACATGAAATGTATACCATATTTTAAATGGAATTTTGTATATCATTTTCATAGAAGTATTAAGTAATATCTATTTGTAGCATACACTAATATAGAAATGTCTATTTATATAATAATGCTATATACTATACAGTATATGACTATACTACATACTAAAGAGCTATATAGTTATCATGTATATGATATATTTATGAAATTGCATATTTATTTATTTCTTTAAAGATTTTTTCTATTCATACAATGTATGAACACGTGTTTACCATTTAATACGCGGTACACGTTATGTAATCTTACGTCTGTTATTGAATATATCATTCTGACATATATGAAGCTTACGTAACTCCCGTAACTCGTAAAATCAAGCGTGCGTTCGGTGTTTTTGCGTAATGGAAACTACATTACTTTTGTTTTGTAAGATCATTTTAAATTCATAATTAAATTAACAGCTTCGTCGTTTTATTTTAATCATACCATAAAACTTAAATGAAATACTT